ATACCTACATGTACATCCATATCTCAAATGCTTTACATATCATGCATCACAGTCGCCCTTGTTTACTTGTATACCTACATGTACATCCATATCTCAAATGTTTTACACATCATGCTTCCCATTCCCCCTTGCATACGTATACCTACATGCACATTCACGCACCCACCTGATTGGACGTGTGGGCTGGTAGTCTGGCCTGGTGCAGTAGCTTGTGCAGCAGTTGAGTGCTCAGCACCTGCAGTCGACTGTTCTGTGGCTGGCGGTGTGTCTGTTGTCGCCTTGACACTCCCGCCTTTTCTGACACGGACCCACGTTTGGCCGGGTCGGTCCGGGCACGGTTGCCATAGTTACCGTTGGGTTTCTGGTCCACGTGATCGGTCTGGATAAACCACAACACCGCTACCAACAACAGATCAAAGTAACTGCGCGGCTCAGAGGCCACGGCATTCTCACCAATGCTGTTCTTCTGTGGACGTCAGAAGGACACAAGCGAAGTACTAAGACAAGGGATGAGAGGAGAGGTAGACATGAAAGGTAGACAGAGGAGAGGTAGATATGTGAAATGTAGGCATGTGAAAGGTATACATATGAACGGTAGACGGAGGACAGAGGGCGGGTAGGTAAATGGACGGTAATGTGATACACAGAGGGATAAAAGCATGCTACAAGCCTACATGTCTACATACATGTAAAAGTGTATACCTACATGTATTACCTACATACATACAGAAGCATATATCTATATGGATTACTGTCTGATTACACATCAGCCTACATACATACAGAAGCACATCACTATATGGATTACTCTATGTAATTACACATCAACCTACATACATACAGAAGCATATATCTATATGGATTACTCTAAGTAATTACACATCAACCTACATATATCTATATGAATTACTGTGTGAATACACATCAACCTACATACTTACAGAAGCACATCGCTATAAGGATTACTCTATGTAATTACACATCAATCTACATACATACAGAAGCATATATCTATATGGGTTACTCTGTGTAATTACACATCAACCTACATACATACAGATGCATATATCTATATAGATAACTCTGTGTAGTTACACAGCAACACGTGAGTTGTGTAGAGCGTGTGCGTAAAGTAACGTTGCTGCAGTTGGCTGGCGCATATCACCAGGAAACCGGCCTATTCATATAATCACGCATACGTTTTCAAAACACAATACACACATAAAAATAACATATCTACATCACCACATGCACATGTCCTTCATACCAATACACACACAAGACAAATCTTCATGCAGTGATGGTGCTGCACGCCGCTAGCAGCAGCAGTGAACATGCCTATGAGTACGAATATATGTTCAAGTACAACACAACACGCACAAAGCGCATCTTTACATATATAAGACATACCTACACCCTAAACCCTAAACCCCCACACACAGTGCCACAGACACACGAACACATTTGGTTACCTGAGCAGTGTAGGGTTTAGTGTTTAGTGTTTAGGAATTTAGGGTTTAGCACTTGGTTACCTGGGCAGTGTAGAGGTGAAAGGCAAAGTGGTGCGGCTGCACTTCACTGGTGCAAAGCGCAAACAGAAACGCCGACGGATCCACCGACACCATTGCCATTAACGTCGTCAGGGCGTATTCCACTTGTGCGTTGTCTGGTGTGCGTCTGTTCGGGTGTTAGTTTACGTGTCTAAGAGTGAGGAAAGGGTAGGCGTAGATGCGATTTGGGTGTGTATCTTGCCAAAGATGTCATGAGTTTGCAGTTCGGTAGCAAAGCATGCATACACACACACACACACACACACACACACAAAACTGGGTAGATATACAAACGTACACCGAAAAAGAAAACGAAAAAAGAAGCAAATATAAGTGTTTTTGCGAAGAACATCACAGTTGGACTGCTTGACCTTACTTTAAATTGTTGGACTGCTCGGCCTTCCTTAGTGCACCTTGATACAGACATATTGGGCCTGAATGCACCTTAATACAGACGTATCGGGCCTGAATGCACCTTAATACAAACGTATTGGGCCTGAATGCACCTTAATACGAACGTATTGGGCCTGGATGCACCTTAATACGAACGTATTGGGCCTGAACGCACCTTAATATGAACGCATTGGGCCTGTTCGTTCCCCGTATATCAGCGTGATTTGCCTCTGTGTGTAGTTGAGCTCAAAAGTATCTCCGACAACGCCAAGATACCGATACAAACCCTAAACCCGGAAACATACAATACACCTACCCACACAACATAACACCTACAAGCACATATCTGTAGACGTATATATTCATATGCACACCCCCCTTTATCCACCCACCTACATACACATCTCTGTAGACGTATATATCCATATGCACCATATACTTTTATATATATATATATATATATATATATATATATATTATGTACCTACCCCTTACTACAACCCACCTAC